GCTGGTCAGTGTGGGCTCGGGCTGTCGCACATGGTGCCAGTTCAAGGCTCCTGGAGATGTTATTTTCGCCCGCCCGCTGGCCACCGTCTGGTGTTAGCCGCGAGCCAACGCCGCGCGGCCTAGGGAGACTGCGACGTCGGACATCGGGTCGATTTTTTTTATCGAAATTTTTGATCGAAAACCTGCGAGTGCGCTCACTCATTGTGTTCAGCAATTTATCGGGGCTCCGGCTGGGCAGATTTTATAGCAGCGCAGCCTAGCCTTGGCCCTGCCAGGGCCCGACGCATTGCAAAGAATGGATTAAGCTGCGGCACTGCCCAGATGGAACCAAGCTCGTGCCCAGCTGGGCACGAGGTGCCCTTTTGTCCGCGGATGCCGCTGCAGAGTGTGAGGGATTTGGCCGGGCTTGGGCACGAGGTGCCCTTTTGTCCGCGGATGTCGCTGCAGAGTGTGAGGGATTTGGCCGGGCTTGGGCACGAGGTGCCCTTTTGTCCGCGGATATCGCTGCAGAGTGTGAGGGATTTGGCCGGGCCTGGGCCGGTTGCTCAGTCCTATTCGAATTCTGGCGTAGAATTCGCCAGCGGTCGCAGCACAGCTGCATCCGCACGGGCGGTGGTGTGAGTGTTGTTACGCGCGCCGTACTGGGCCCCGAATCCAGGCCATGTGTCCTGCAAATGAGACCTGAAGCATTGGTGTGTATATCTATCTTGGTCTATTTGTTTCCGTCATATTTGAGCCATCTAAACGCTAGGTGGAAGAGCTTAGCCGCAATCATGGGCATTAGACCCATGAGTAAGAGCCGTTACTCGTTCATGAACCGTGTAAAGTCAAGGTCAAATGGATGGCGGATGATATGGTGCTGCATAAGCAGGGTCGATTCTCGCGTTGTTTTCGAGTGTTCAATCCCGCCGACAGCGCAACCCGATACCTTTCAAGCTTGCCGCTGGTCACGTGGTCGTTAGTTTACGTGTGGAACTGATAAGCGGCATTCTCCGCCCCCTCACCGCGCCGCTGCGGAAAACCTGAGCGCCGCCACGTGCCGTCGCGGTCCGGGCCCACCCGAGCATGGGCAGCATGCGCTGTGATGCATTTCAAGCCATAACTCAGTAACTGTTACAGATAATTGCTTGAAACTTTGTGCAGGCGTCCTTCATAGTCGTATCTAGGACTCTCACTTCCATGACATCAAAATGTTGCCTCCGGGTTAAAAAAATGTTCAGTGTACTTTTTGTCGATATTTTTGGGATTTGACATGCCAATATTTCAAGGAAACATTGAACAACACAACGACAAGGCATCTGCATGATGGACCAATTTTCTCACATTCTCTGTTTACAGATATAAAATGCGGTCTTTCGTTTGGTTTGTGTCAGTCTGTCTTCGGTTGCGCAACGCTGTGAGAAAAAATCGGGAAACACGATGTCACTCTTCACTCACGCTTGATGTACTATGGTCTCATGATTGTTATTTTGGCACAAGGTGTAAAACTCATCAGTAAACAGCATCTAAAAATTTTACAGCGATATTTTAATGCCTTTTTTATTATTGCGACTTGTGGGTAGGGGGAGGGGCAGCTTTGACACCCGGTCAGTGCCGGCTTAAGTGTTCTGCACTTTAGTGCTAGGTCTCCCAGCACTTGCAAACTGCCATAACATATTACCGAGTTCACATGGCAAAGAAAGATAAGCTCTTTTTTCTCTAGAATCATTAGACGGTACAATTTGGTGCCAAATGCGAAATGCACGAAAACCGGGAGAAACAGGAGCGGAACCCATCATTTGCCGTCAGAGTGATAAAAACAGACTGTAAATGATACTCTACAAGCGATGCAAGAGTTACATTCGATGATACCAACACCGACTACCCCGTTGCAACGCTTCATTACTGGATGTTATCCATAAACAGACTGCAGGCAAAACCAGGCCACATGCCGCCCCCCTAACAGCTGGGGCTGTTCCTGGGGTGCCGTGTCTAGTTACGAGGCGCCAGTCTGGGTTTTATCAGCCACGTGTCACCGGTTGAGGAATGACCCTGTGGCGGCATCATATCCTCTTGAGCGGCGGCGTTTTACAGCGGCGGCGGAAGTCAACCAATAAGGGCAGTGGTTGTGAGTCTCACGGCATATTCCATTCGCTGCAGCGTGCTATTTAAATTTCGGAAGCGTGCGTTCATCTCTACCATTCACTGCTGGTGACTTCTTTGTGCATTTATTTTCAGGTGCGGGGATTTTCAGCTACATAGGGCAAAGCGAACTCTGCTCAGGTCCAATTAAGCAGACATTCCCGACCCCAAAGACGACATTTGCTAACAGGCATTTCAACTGTCCGTGAAACAACTTTGACCGCCATGCAGTAAGCGCAACATCTGTTGTATTTTCGGCTGATTGTTGACGTGCGTGCTTCTCAAATGAACCAAAAGCAACGGCAGCCGCAAAAGAGATAGACGCTGCCAGCTCCCAGTGGCTCCAAGAGGCACATGGAGGGGAGGGTGGCATCTGGTACCTGTGACGGGACTGCGTGGCTGCTTTCCATTAACATCAGATCGTGCTGCAAACCATTTGGCGGGTGGGGCCTCTGCTGCGTCATGGGGCTGGCCTCCACCGAGGTGTGAGGCACCCAGTAGCCTACTTAGCTGCGGGCGATGTTGAATCCCCCACCACTATGCAAAGATCCCCCACCACTCACCACACTCACCCAGTGTGCTGACGACTTATCCTCAATCCCATATCTCGGCTGGCATTAATCTTGATGTAAGGGTAAGGTCTTAAGGCTTGACGCCATATATCGCAGTCAGTCTCCAGGGGCAGGACATGGGTCATTACCTCTTATCTTCTTTCAAAGCTCAAGAATACTTGAAAACTGCCTGAGCCTCCCCAGTCTGTAAGCTGTTTGACTGCAACCGTTGAGAGAATATTTTAAAAGAGGTACTTCGCAACCCCTAAAGGAAAGTGATGTACTGGCTTAGATAATATGCCGCAAGGCCTTAGCCGCACTTTGGTACGATTTCTGAGCATAGAGGGGGTGAGGGTGAGATAAGGAGTGGCACAGAAAGTTGCGGCATTTTTCACATGGCCAAAATCATCCAGCTGTGAGCTGCTGTACCTTTGGAGGTCCTTTTTACTAGGAACTGGTGTTGGAAACCAGGCTGCAAGACCAGCCAGGTCCCTGTAGATACTGCCAAACGACGGCATTGCTACCAAATGCAGCCTAAAACGTCATGATCGTTAGTTAAAAGTGGGTATCATCGCATTCTATTTTCGGAATAGGAAGCAGCACGTCAGATTTACTTTCTAAAATGCAGCGAAAAGTACTGGTCAAGCATATGCTTTACATTCTGGCCTTGGTCAAAGCGCAGTACCTTCCAAAGCTAACAAAGCATTCGGTACCTTTTCCTGTATTTTATGGCCTTTTCAGGTAGCAAGAAAGCATGGGTTATAAGGACTAAGAGAGTTTAATAAGCATATTTGGGGTTAGGACATGTGTCCAAACTGCAGCAACACAGTGCCGGAGGCTAATTTCTCACTTTCAACTACCTGTGCTTCGGGCAGGTGGTGTTAGGGCCCAATTGTTGAACCGAAGACCGATTATTTTAAATTTTGCTAAAAATGTAGTCAACCATTCTACAGGGCGTGATACACTGCACACTACATGTACTCCGCTCTGCTGCGCAATGTTTCTCGCCGGGCCTATCCCTTGACTTGGGACGGACAACGGACTTGAACCCAGCTGGTGTAGCCCGCATCTACCAGATGGGACCAGGCAAGGTCCCAGCTGGAGCCCAGCGCCTGCCCTGGCCGTGCCAATATCCCAGGCAGGGCCCACCGGGAGTCCAGTGCCTGCCCAAGCCACGCCGATGCCCTGATATTTTACCAACGTGTGCCCAGCTGATGCCCAGCCAGGCCGCGGGCAGACGGCCCAGCTGTGACACGGCCGCCGCCCATCGAACGAAGGCTTCGCGAAAGTCTGGGCCCGTGCTGGGCATTATTACTGCCCACCCAGTCCGCTCGTCTGGGGCATGGCAGGAGTCACTACAAAATGCTAGCTAGTTCTAGGTGGGCGAGCTCATTGAGCATCAAACATGCGCACACAAGTATAATCGCATGGTTACTGAAGAGCTAACTCAGCTAAGCAACACTGTCACTGAAGGATGTTTTTTGGACCACACGTTCGAGCTGAAGTGGCTGAAGTTCGCTTTCCCTTCAGGGGCGTAATGGATAATCATAATAGAAATGGACGAAATCCAAAGAAAACTTGGTACCAGTTCCCTTATGGCGACTTCTAAGACTTCTAAAGTTAAAGTGCGGTTCGAAAAAGCCATGGTGCTAAATGCCATAGGGGAAAAATGAAAAACCACAGCTTAACATTTCATTGAAGTCGCGGGATAATAGTATCGTGTTTGCATATGTTTTTTCTCTCTAAAAAGAGTGTCTCAATCTTCCGTAACTTGTATTGCACAGGTGTGTTCACAAATTATTGTGTTGCAAGTTAGCAAAATACACAAGTTGGAAAAAGCAAGGAAGATCAAATGCACTTCTTCCCCGGTGGCAAGCAGGGAATGCAATGAGATGCCTCCCGCAGGAGCGTCTAGTTCAAATCGAAATTTTGGGCTGTCCAGACGGATATCGAGAAAACTGCCATTACCAATCAAATCGAACGCATCTGATCCAACAATATGATCCGATTTCCATGGAAACGAGTTAGCGCAGACCTGAGCCGCTCGATGCTTAACGAATCCCGTCATCTGCGTATTTCAAATGTGAGGCAGGAGAAACGACACAGCAACATGGAAACCCAACGCAGATCCTGCGTGGAACGGTGGTCAATGTGCTTACCTTTGCGTTCACACCGCAGAAACAAAACTGGGCCGTTCTGCGGAATAGAGGTCGGCTTATACGCGCTCGAGGCTCAGCTCCGCCCTGGTCATTGAGTGGTTGGGGTAGCTGCGCGCAGTGTTGTCGCGTTCGTCTTACGAAATGAGACTGCTCTCGCAGTGACGATTACCCCCACGGTGGCAGTGAAGGCCGCCAGCGCAGTGGTCATCACAGGAAACCCGTAGCCGTCCACGACAGCGCCGCCGGAGATCGGCCCCACCGCCACGCCCATTGAGAAGGCCGTCTGGAACATGCTGGATACGAAGGACCTCGTGGTCAAATTGTCTGGCAGGCCACGCGCGATGCTAGCCTCCAGCACCATCTTGAAGCAGGGGGCGATGGCGCCGCCGAAGAACACCTCCTCGATGCACATGCCCAGGCCCAGCATCCACCAGGAGAGCGGCACGCCCAGCAGAGGAGGGGGCGCCAGCAGCAGAACGCCCAAGGCGGACATCAACAGGCACGGCGCCATCATGGTGTACGGGTTTCGCAGACGCTCCGTTAGCCACCCCCAGAACATGTTGACGATGGCGTACAAGCTCGTGCTGACGAGGAAGTAGAGGCCAATGTGTGCCAGCCCTATTCCGAGCTGTCCGCTGGCGAAGGGCGCGATGCACGAGTCCACGGTGCTGAAGTCGACCGCAAACACGAACACGACGCTCAGGCACACCCAGTTGTCGATGGAGCTGGCAAACACTCGCAGAGTGACGGCCAAGTCCTTGTGGCGGACGCAGGCCTCCTCGCGCAGCGCGGGTATCAGGCGCAGGATCAGCGCCGACATCAGCAGCATGGTGAGCCCGAGCGTGTAGAAGGGGGTGCCGAAGCCGCCGACGGCGTACAGGCCGCTCCAGAGGGGCGGCGTCAACGCCAGGCCGAGCGTCTGCGCCGAGTTCAGCACGGCCACGGCCGTGCCCAGCCGGCTGGGGAACTCGCTGCCGACCACGGTGTAGGCGCACGTGGCCACGGCTGCTGAGCCGACCGCCTCCAGCAGGCGCACCAGGAAGCACGCCACCACGAACGACCGCGTGTCGGCGATGAAGTCGAGCGTGCCGAAGATGACGGTGGAGAGGCCGGCCGTGGCGACGCCGGCGCTAAAGAGCCGCGTGACGCCGACCGCAGGCGCCAGCCGACCGAAACACGGACTCAGCACCATCTGCACGACAGCGAAGCAGCTGAACACGGCGCTGATGGTGGCCTGAGGTACGCCACGGCGGGCCGCCTCCACCGGGTAGAACGGGATCATGACGGCCTGCAGCGAGCCGTTCAGCATGCTGACCAGTGACAGCACCGCCAGCAGCTTCTTCTGCGTCCACGGGAGCCGGGCGATCCGCGGCGCCTGCCGGGCGCCTCCGTCCTGCTCTCCGGGCTGTGCTGGTGCGCACGGGTCGTCCCGGAGGCAAAATGCCTCGTACTGCGTGGCGCGCTCCGGCCTTACCGAGATCTCACTGGGCCCCGCACGCAGCAGTCTCTCCGTCTCCATCGCCCCGGCCTCCGTCCTGCTCTGCGTGACGGCACCGCTGCCGGACGACACGGCGACTCTCGCCGTCAACGGACAGCGGCCGGCGCAGCGATCTTCACCGGCGATCGACCGCCCTCGGGAGCCGCCCCCGTGTTGTCTCACGAAGGCGCGCCGCCTTCGCGCCGCGTCCCTCTGCGGCGCCGCGCCAGTGGTGCACTGAGCCGGGTTAGAGGGGGCCACGCCTCGACGCTGGCCGGCCGGCCGTGTCTGCCGCAGCACCACCCCTTTGGCGCACCGGTCGGGAGGGAGAGAGAGAGAGAGAGAGAGAGAGAGAGAGAGAGAGAGAGAGAGAGAGAGAGAGAGAGAGAGAGAGAGAGAGAGAGAGAGAGAGAGGAGAGAGAGAGAGAGAGGGAGGGAGGGAGGGAGAGAGAGGGAGATGGAGAGAGAGGGGAGAGAGGGAGGGGATAGTTGTGCTCCAGACTCCGGCAGACCGGTCGCGTCTCTCTGCGCGCCGCCTCTCTGGAGCACTGCACCGGGAGAGAGCGGGCTGCGCCTCGAGCGGCACCACTCCCGCTAGTAAGCGGCACCACTCCCGCTGGTGACGCCACCCGCGGCGGTCACCAAGTGCGTTGTGAGATTGCAGCCCCGCCGCAGCGCGAGCACCTCCACTTGACGCCGTGCAGCTGGACATGCAAACTCTACCCGCGATCAGCTATGCAACAACAGGCTTCAATCGAACACTTATACTGTCAGCTGTCGTCACAGCTCGGAACAGGCCGGGAATGAGCTTTTGTCGTCGCCAGGGGCGGCTGAGTTAAATGGGGCCGCATGGTCGGTGGATCGCTCCTGCCATGACGTCACGATTTTGCACCTTGCCTGGCCGGAGAGCGCGCATATCGGCTATCATCCTGAGCGGTATCGGGGCCCAGCTGTCCCCAAGGCCAGTAACACAGCAAATGGCGTAACCGGTTGGACGGGCTTTAGCTAATGAGCGAAGCCACTCGTAATTACGCCCCCGGGTGGCCGGACGAATACCCTCCGCTCGGGTGGAGGGGGGTCAATTTGATTCGCTCCCGAGATCTCAGAAAGCGAGAGAGTCAGATACACCACAGCGTGTGCTGGCCTGTACGTGAACTCACTTGTGTCAGAATCTAAGGTTCCTAGGTCAAAACTTCCGGGTCAAATAAGCTCAAGCAAGGTCAAACTCCAGGTTGGTGTCCAAAGTTCTCCTGGAGCCTAGATATCTGTTCTAAGCAAATGGTCACTGATGCTCACATAAGGTTAGCACCCTTGTCTGACCTTTCTAATGCTTTGGTAACCAAAATCATGCAAGACTGCTTTAAGTTTTGCGTTTGAATAAGCACCAAAGATTACGCTTGATAATATGTTCCTAGAAACATAATGTTGGCCTGGGTCATTTTCGGTCATTAGCCTATTCTAACCTTCAAGACGACCGGGGAAGATGTATAATGTGCTTCCTGTTATCAATGAATTCGAAATGAGTTCCAAATCTGCCCAATACAAAAAGCTCTAAAGTAATAAAACGGGATGATTTTGACCTTAGTCCAACCTTTATATCTGACTCTAGATCACTGAAATTGGTTCATTCAGTTGTGTTGCCAAAGAAAGTATCTCAAAGATGTATGGCCGTGTCTAACACCCCGCTGTTGTTCAGATTAAACGATTCCCTAGAAATTAACAGCAAGGAACCAGATGGTTTGCACGCGTATGGCAGTAAGGCATCGGCGTTGCTTGGATAACGCGAGCGTTTTGTATGTTCGTGAGACCACATGCAAAACCTGTTAGCATTGCTCTTCATGGATCGTTACTGCTGAAAACCAAACACTTGATTAGTGAGATGTGTGTTCATAGCAGAAGTTGGCTGTGACAAAAAAAATCATGTGAGATAAGTAAACGGATGAGCAGATGCGCATATCAGCACATCAGCCTGCTACGAGCTCTGGCTCAGCATAAATATCATAAACAGTGACGGAGCACATCGCATGCACACGTATATACTCGCCTATAGGGTCGGCTGGCGTTTTTATCAGCTCTGGCCGTCAAGGTTCGACGCCAACCCTTGACAAAACGCACCGACATGTGCCCGAGCCCAGCCGGCCGCCCCAATGACGTCATATTTAGACGCACGCCATTGTTCGTTGCTGCCTCCGTCGGACGGTGTTCGTCTCGTGAGATTACAACGCAGGCTCGCCGAGGTTGTGGACAGACTCCTACGCGTGCTACGCAGGTCTTTCACTTACCTGATCAATTTTCCGTTGTCGGCGTTGATCGGAAGGGGAGGTGATAAAAAGGTCAGATCGTTCACGCGGGACGCAAGACTCGGCCTTGGTGACGAGTCCAGAAAGGCAGTTCGCAATGGCAGCGTGCTGGCTTTCACTCCCCTTAGCTCTTTTTGTGTTATCCTCCCCACGTTAAACTCTAGGACTGCCAGCCTTCCTGGTCTCGTTGCGTCGGTCACGCCGCAGCACTGCCTCCGGTACCGCATCGAGCCAGCTCCAGCCCGTAAGGCTCTCCGGGTACTACGGACCTCGGGCAAAACGACCAGCTTCTTTTTTGGAAGGAACTCGGCGCACCTCCCCACGAACACTCGTTGTGGGATGCTAGCGACGGCAGGGACCATATTGGCGCTCGGCGGCCGTGGCGCAACCGCGTTTTGAGCCCGGTCCCCCACATGGGAGCCGAAGGTGCTAACCTCTTGGCTATTGCGACCCAGCCGACCAGATTCGAACCACGATGCAGTCTCCTCCTGCCAAATCCTTGGTCACTCGTAAATAGAAGTCTTCGCCCCCCCCCCCCCCCCTACTCCACGCCGCACGCACACAGTTGGCTCACCCCAAATGTGCCCGGTGACTGACCTGAGAAGAAGGGGGCCTGTTTTGTTGTCCAGGCTCTCAAAGGATGTTTTCACTGTGTCAAATGCAATGAAAACCTTTGCTACAGCATGACAAGTATCAAGGTGCTACCGTTGCTTGTTGTCAGTGGTGATCTCTGGCCCTTCGTCTCTTTCACGGTTTCCGGACAAACAGTTGAATGGAAAACAGTCAAACGAGAAAATGAGCGAAGAAGATCGAGCAAAAATCATGGAGAGGGATAAAAGTAAACAGGGATAACAGCTGACAGCCATAAACGTACACAGGGATAAAAGCCAAATCGAAAAACCCGACGGACAGAAAGTCAAAGGATATAAAAGCCGAACTGGAAAAAGCCGAGGCACAAAAACTCGAATGCAGTAAAAGTCCACAGGCTTAGAAGCCGAATCCGAAAAAGTTGTAAGGAATAAAAGGCGACAGTGGTAAAATGGTGCAAAAGGCTCCAAAGGACTGTGGCTCAAAGGACAAGTCAACAGGGATAAAAGTCAGATTGAAAAGCAATTAAATGGACAAAAGTTAAACACGGATGAACGTCAATTGGATGTGAGGAAACAAGCGGGTTGTCAAGCCCAGACCCGAGGTGGTCGCGCCCTAGCATTGTAAGGCGCGTACGGCTCTCCGCAGTCCTGTCTGGTGAAACGGTGAGGGCAAAGTTATCTGTGGCACTGAATGGAATGAATTGGGTGGTTGATTCAAGGTGTATAAATCAGCTATCTTTAGAGGGTGCCCTAAACCCATGCAAACCATTCGGAGTAAATCTATAAAAAGGGATTTGAGAGAAGGAGTCCTCATGATTGGGTGCCTGGCAAGAACAGGAAGCACTCGGATTGCACTCGCGGCACCAGTGGATTCAACAGGTCGATGCACTCGGATGCACTCGGACTGCACTCGGACTGCACTCGGACTACACTCGGACTACACTCGGACTGCACTCGGACTGCACTCGGACAACACTCGGACTGCACTCGGACTACACTCGGACTGCACCCGGACTACACTCGAAAGTACTCGGACTACACTCGGACTACACTCGGACTGCACTCGGACTACACTCGGACTGCACTCGGACTACACTCGGACTGCACGGGGACTACACTCGGACTGCACTCGGAGGCACCGGTGGATTCGATGGGCCTCGTTACCTCGCATCCCCGGGTCCTCCCATTTGGGCCCGCCCCTGCTCACCCTGCAGCCCCCCTCCCCCCCCCCCCTGGCAGGAAGCCAGCCTTCGAGCCTTCACAGCGGAACCATACGGAACGCGCTTTAAGGCTACCAGGTGGCCGATTTGCTGTGGGGACCCTGTTAACGTCTATGCCCATAGCAATGGCGTCTTTAAGCATTTTGTGGGTTGGTCGCGAGCAACGCAAGCGCCTGCGGCAGGAGGCGACGCAAAGCGGCGGCGGCGCCTGTCGTAAATTCCGCTGTTCGTTGATCCCGGTGCTGAGCAGACACATGTTTGTTTCTGATGCTCGTTCCTGGTTCCCACTTCTTCCTTCTCGTGAAAACGAAATTTCGGATCTTTGGCATGGCAACTGATTTCTTAAACACCGTTCCTGGGTCGTGGAGCCTATTAGATTTTTTTTTATAAAACGCAACATCCTGGTTTCGGGCCACCACCGGTTCCTTCAACAATAAAAAATACGCCTTCACAAGAGTAGAACATGGTTCAAAGCTCCCTAAGTCCGTTAAAAAGCACCAGACAACCAGGGATACGGAGGACTACAAACATCCCTTGTCCCCATCCCTTTTTTGCAAATACCCCGCCCTGGTTTCTGGCTGTGTGGTGTACGCTCGGTGCGGGTTGTGCATTTAGCGACATCTCGTAGACTACGATATAACTATTGTCTGTCGTGACTGGTTGGCCAGGTGGCAGCACTAACTGGTGGTACGGTAGAAGACAGATGCGTGCGCACTGGGGCGGGGGGGGGGAGGGGGTGTTGATCTGCTGATGTTGAGGCGCTTGTCCTGACATATTAATCCTAGATAATAATGAGTCATAACTTACGATTTCAGTGGCTTCTTACATTTATTACGGCTAACCGCTTACCGTGGAACAGAGCGACAAAAATATAACGTCACAAGCTCCGGCCGGTGTTTTGGTTGCTACCGGTGAAGTGTTTTTCAATCTGT